TCATTTGTCGCTTCCAACTTCAAGGTGATGAGCGAAACGTCATCACCAGGTGCAGAGACACACAATGATTGTGTATCTGGAGCAACTTTCGTCAAGAGATATGCAAATTCTCTTGAGGTTGCTGGATCAGTAGGGCGCTCCGCCCCTACTGACCCCGACCATTTTTTGATGGTCCGTCTCGCTGTTGCGGCTTCGCAACAGCGCTGGACCCACGCACATTGCCCTTTCTGGCGAATGGTCGTCCATTTCGCTCAGTGCTGTTTGGTACTGGGCGCGGAGCACTACACTCGTATGCGTAGTGCCCTAACTTCTGACAGCGATTGCACCTCTGCAATCGCTTGTTGCTTGTAGAGCGAGGTCTCTCGCTCTCAACATAACAGAGGTCCATTGGTTCTGGACCTCCGATCTCTTGTCGTCTCGGTGGACGGTAAGAGTTTGAGCTAGCATGAGCCTGTCTCATGCTAAAGTCTTCCTGTTCCGCGGCTGATATCGCTTCTTCAAGCGTATTCAGCTCAAGGCGGAACAGGTGGCTTCTGACGGGCCCTTCTGCGAGCCCTTGCATGAACACCGTAATCAACGTGTGTTCATGAACTGGGTTTGCAGTTATACTACTCGCAAGGAGTCGTTTATGTTGTGCGTAAGCGTGCACATCACGCTTACCCTGCTTGAGTTTCAGGAGCTCTGAACGAGCCCTGAACTCAGCACGTGGCGGCTCAAACGTTTGTCTGAGCCGGGACTTGAAGTCATCTAGCGACCTAAACACGTTTGGGTCGCTACTCTCGAGTCCCAGGGACCAAGTTTTGGCACGCCCTGCCAAGTGGGTCTGAGCAAATGTGAGTTTCATTTGCTCATCTTCGACGCGACGAGCCCTTAGGGCTCTGTCGAGTTCGACAAACCATAGTAACAGGGAGTCCTCCGGGACTCCACTGTACTTGGAGATGTCGACTTTCATCACTTCGGGACGACGCGCATGCGCCGTCCCGCCCACAGCAGCATGGAATTGCTGCTGTCTCAACAGCTCCGTCTGTTGAGCACCGAGTTCTCTCAACTGCTCGGCCTGTTGAGAGCCTTGCTGGTGAAGCAAGGCTACTTTCTCCCTCTCGAGAGCAAGTTCATTGTGAATGAACTTGGCGATAGCAGCATGTTGTTGGTCTCTGTCTAGAGACTTCAACATGGTGCTGACGACGAGTTCGCCGACGGTAGAACTCATTCGTTCTACCGCACCCCATTCGATGTCACTCAAATGGGTAAACCCTTCACGCGTGGCGTGAAAGGTGTCTTCTTCATCCAACATGAACATGTTGGATGATGTGGTCCTTGGAAGGACTACAAAGTGCTACCAGGTGTAACGGGGCACACCCTTGCGTAACTTAACGCAAGGGATTTGGGTGCCCCGACGGACGTACACGTGGCGAGCGAGGAAGCGTAGATAGGGTAAAAGTAGAACTGTTATATTAATAAATTAAGTCTTTAAACTACTGTCTCTTCGTTTGACTTAATTCAATTATACTAATATAACTGCATGTATGGTGACGTCTCGTCACCACTCATTGCGCGCGTCTTGCGGCGATTAGTGGGTTGATATCATCACGATATCAACCAATGAACAGACCCTTTGGTCGACCCTTCAATATCACCACTTTGGTGATATTGTTTAAAGAATATCCATCTTTATATTCTTTATTGTCACTTTCCTTAAAGTGACAATTTCATGTAACGGGCTGCCCCGTTACAGTGCTTGCTTGGTGTCTACACGGTGTTGCTCCAGTTGATTGCTGAATCAAGTGAAGAATGCTACGCTATTACAGAACGTCACAACATATCCAGCAGCATGCATGACCTGTTTTGCAACGTTTGCTCGGCCCGAGGCGTAACTATACGTCCCTCTTATCTCTATATGACAATTTATAACCTTATGTAGCAATTATCCACTATAATCGTCGTATAAGACTTGTAGAACTCGTACGGCATCATAAGCCATGGCTTTTAGCGGAGGTTCTTTGCTTGCTCACTATCGACAAAGTTGGTCGTTTGCCATCCGTTATGTGGAGTTGCGTCTTAGTGTACGTGAATGGTCCACTTATTTAGTGGTATCTCATTGATATATATAGCAACAGATGGTTTGATAGCGTATAGATTGGTCTTCGCGATGTCGAAATCAGGTCGACGTGTTGCAGCATTCGCTTCCCATACGAACTTCTCTTAGGTGACCAATAATCTGCCCATTTTGTCATTTCTCGCATTCTACTTGTGAAGAAGTATAAGACAAATTAGAACGAAACTGCTGATAGTTTGGCTTTTCCGCAATTATAATAAAACGAATGCAGAACATGTGAAATATGAAGAGACAATAGGCGGCAGATACCAGACCAGCATTTCAATCACTGAAGCCAGGGATAAACATCAGAGGGAAAATATGATTTAGAACACGGCAAAAAAAAACAAGAGTAATTATTGTAGTCTCTAACAAGGACGAGCGCAATTGGGGCGATTTGGTTACTAAAATTTTCGTCGAGGATGACCAATACAATCGGAACCCCGTTGTATTTGCGATGTTTCATGCGAGCTGCATCAATACCAAAAATTCTAGTTCTTAAAGAAACCACTTCGGGTTTATCACAACAAATTCCCGGTGGAGGTGCCCCTTCTCGTCGCACTGAAGCTCCGTAAGTGTTCCTGGATTCAGACGCTAAAATTCAGACAGTAATATTGGTAAAAGAGCTAAATCGTTGGATCTTCAGAAAACAGCTCTTCATAATTATGACCTTGGCACGATACATCACATGATAGGACGCAGTCATCTCGGCTTGGTGACGAAGTTGATCTACTAGAATTCTTGCGGACGTGGTCGGCTCTGCAGACAATGCATTACGTACTATAGAGCTGGTGACTAGTTGAGCCGTCGAAAAAAATTCCCGACACTAACGCAATTCTAATGATCCAGATTAGTATCCGTCACAAACCAATCACATGGACCATGTTTGTTCCTTTATCGTGCCAATCGAATATGCCGTTTGCAGCCCGAGCTCGCACTGTTACACTGTGATAAACGAATCGTCCCACCTCTCGTACACACGACAGCGTAGTTGCCTTGCGCGAATGCAACATCTTAAAGTGCTTGGGCAGCTACCTTGCCCGTAGTCCATCTCTTCGCCTTCAAGTCTTCCATTGATTCTCTTTACGGTGTCGCACGAATGAGCAAACTAAATCAGGAGCATGAGTGCTATAAGAAGGCATTTGCTTGATTTGCGACAACCTTTTAGAATTGACTCCAGATCGTGATAAATGTTTTCAGATCGAGATAATAATCTCTAGATCGTTCAAACCTAAAATCACTAGCATTGCTTGAGATGCAAAACGCTGTTATGAATAGCCTTAGATCGTCATAATAAGCTTTAGATTGAGATAAATAGCATAAGTTCGTCGCATTAATTGCTTCAGATCTTTGCATCAATAGCTTCGGATCTTTGAAATTTAAATATACATTTTCTTTTATAAAATACCTTGCATGACATCTTGCAAAATTTTTGTTTTTGTATCACATCTGACAAAAAACCCTTCTTTTTTATCGTCGTGATAATTTTGTACAAATTTTGATTTGGCTATAATCGGTACGTAAGTGCATAAAAATGGTGCCTTTGGCAATATGGATGCGGACGTTACGGCGGTGAACCAACTGCGCCAAACAGGACGGTGGTGGAAACAAGCATTTCGCTGTTGGCGTGTCGTTGTTTCACCGCGACCTACTATGGTGTAAACTATGTATTTCTGCATTGCTCTTGACGGGACGAGAGCGTAAATGTGCACGCGGGATGGTAGGTCGTGTTGGAAAAATGAAAAGCATGACCTCACATCGAAAATATGGCCATTGCGGCATGTGCGTCTTGCAATATTGATACAAGACATAAAACTGCGGTCAAGCGATAGCCCCCATTCAGATGAGGTGAGGCTATATACTATGAACAAGCCACGACTGTGTAAAGTCAATAGGCACTTATTTCTACTGATCGTGATAATATACATTAGTATGTGGAACAAGTTGCGGAAACAGTAACGCTGAAGTATAGCACTGACATAGAATCAAACCTCCGACAAAAGTAGTCTCGTGAGCTGTGGAGAATACTAAAGAGGAAGAAACATGTGTGTGCATCGCGCTTGTTGACCCTTGTCCTTTTGGAAAGTAATTGCAATCCTGACGATGTTTATCCGAGCAAGCAGTGTGGTCAACGTCTGATACAAATACGCTAGCTTGTCCAAGATAAGGTGAGCCTTACTCTGATATGATCGTACCGTTGCGCATACGACGATGCGGTCCACATGGGACGCAGCACATCGAGTTATTGATCGATGTAATTTGATCATCAACTACAATTGAAAAATTAGCTTCATCGTACCAGAAAATGAATAGTCTGCAACAAGATTATGGTTACATAGATTATTTTGCGTCGAGTCAACGCGTGTTGACCTGGCATCTATCGGGGGAAGAGGGGGTTCACTCGCAGCTGGATCAAGCCGTTTAGAGCAAATGTCTGTGCGAGTTATCGTGTGCAGCCCTCTGTCAAAAGTTGGAAACGCGAAGCCTTAGTGTGTAACATTCAGCATGGACATGCCATTTCCCGTTGCAAAGGCTGGTAGTTCAAGACCGAAGACAGATGACAGAGAAGTCTCCAGAAGTAATCCAGGGAAAAGTCGGACGCTTAGCTATGTAGTTGACGAACTTGCCGCTGCTGTCGTTGAGCTGACGGAAGTAGTCTATGCCACTCTAGCTGAACTCGCTCCTGGCTATCTTACGCCCACAAACGTCGCCGGATGGATTAACGCAGTTCCTTGAAAAGTTGTCGATTGTTCGGAAGACACGTGGATAGCCTCATGAAGCACTGCGCTACCTTGCACTCGTCTCGGCTGTGCCGCCTGCTCGATCAAGCAGTAGTAGAATGCAGGCAGCACCTCGTGTCAAGCAGCTTCTTCAGCTATCGAACGCACAATGCAACGCCAATGCATTACAAAGCTCCATGTATGGAAGCGGGTGGAGTGATCTCCCATATCTCAATATCCGAGGCAACGTACAATGGATGATATTCAGCAGTGTTGAGCACCCTGAGCGTGAACCCGGTTGCCTCCATGAGGTTCCAAAACTTTTGCTTGGGCTGGAAGTGCTGGTAATGACGATGCTCGTACGAAATGAGAATACGAGTGTGTGGTCTACTGAGAAGTTTCAAGGCCTCGACGAGTGGCTCCATCGGGTACAGACGTGGCAGGATGCAGTCCGACACAAGGATGAGATCCGGATAGCGTTCGTCTGGAGAAGAGATAAGAGTCTTTGACGGAGGCTGCCCCCATTCGTAGCCTTCAACATCTACGACAACGTTTCTGCCAAGCACACCATCTTGTCGAGCCAAGGCCACGTTCTCTTCCATGATGAAGCGGACATTGTCCATGTCCGTGAGCACCACTCGCCCAGCTTGAAGCAGCATTGCCACTGCAATACCCACAGCGCCGGTACCGCTTCCTAGCTCCAGCACGAACGGCTTGTCCGTATGTGCTAACCCTCGCCACCCGCTGGCCACTCGATGCTCTAGATGCTTTAAGAGCACGCAAGCAGCAGGCCACACGGTGAGGCCCGTGCCAAAGCCGTTGAGCTCCCCTTGCAGCTCCTGTTTGATACGAAGCGGCTTACCGCCCACGCTTTCCTCAAAGTACGGCGCCATAGAAAAGACATCGCGCCACGCGAGCGTCTGCCACGCAGCCGCTTTGTCACTTGTGATGACGTTGCGTTCGAGCAGCAAAGCTCGTCGCGCGTCGTCGCTTTTTTCGGCGTGAAGGCTTCTCGCGTCAGACGAGTTTGCTTTGCCCTGTTGCTGCTGGACCTTGAGCTGCACACCCTGGCGCAGTAGCTGCATGAACCGTTTCCGGTGCTCAGTATCGGCCATCGCTCGGCAAAGGATCGGCAAGTGACGTCACCTGTCCAAATGCAGAATGCGATTGAACTACAGGGGGCAGAAATGGGACTTGCAAGATGTTACAGTCTCTATGAGTAGCTTAGCAAGCGGCCTATGAAGTCTCACGGTCTGAACCGTCGCTCGGTCGCTGCAGGAAGGACGAGAGACGCATGGGCGAGGGAACAGCGTCTCGTTTCTCTTTCTTGTGCGACAGCTTTCGAGTCTCCTTGGAGCGTTCATGTCGTCGCGAGCGACAGTCTTCCTTCGGGTTCGAGTGGCTCTCGCCCAAGTCCAACGACTTGTTTCGTCGCTTGTAGCTTTTCCTACTCGATAGATGCAGCGTCAGTTGTTGCTATGAACACAGTAGGACCGATCACCCAAAAGGTACGCACCTTTTCTTGCGGCTCTTGTGCTTTGAGCGTCGGCGTTCATCTTCCGTGCTACTGTCATTGTCATCATCATCAGACGACGAAGACGACGAGCGTGCATGTTTCTTGTGTTTCTTCTTCCTCTTCTTCGACCCGCTACCTCCAGCCAGTTTCTGTCGACAGCCACATGGTCAGACGTCTCGTGCACATTATCGTTTTAGCCTCTGCCTCTGCCTCTCGCACCTTTTCCCTGGAAGCATCCAGCTTTCTCCGATACTCCTTCATTGCCTTCTCCTCGTTGCCATTCAGGTCCAGCTTGTCGGCGTTCTCCTTCTTGTACTGCTCCCACGTGGGGCGGTTTGGATCGCTGATGCGGTCGGCAATCGTGCGCTCGTCTTTGCCTGTCACCATGCGCATAAACGCGTCCATCGTCGCAGATTGCACGACCCCAGCGTTCGCTCCGCCTTTTGTGGGCGGCTGCTCTGCACGTGGCTGGCGGTACAGTCAGTCACGAGTCAGTGCGATAAGCTCGTTCCACGTCACCGCCACTGACAGAAGATGCGCACCGCTGATGAGGCTGCTCGGATGCGACGCTGACGCTCGAACCGCTGGTCGTCGATCTGCCGGTCCTGCACTTGGCTGTAGTCCACACCCGACGACCGCTTTAGCCCATACTCGTCCGTGCCATGCGCCATTGTTGCGCCTCGACAGCAGATGGCTACAGGGCGAACCGACCAATGAGACAGCTTAGCCCATCCTAGAGCCTATTCGTCGATTTACCAGAGGGTGAGGTTCCCCATTCCTGGATCTCCTCGACAAAGCTCCGATATGGTGAGGACGTCGGCCACCGAAAGCGCGATTCGTGGCGGACATGAAGCACTAACGCTTGTGCTACGTACGTGTATGTGTCGGACCTGTACTGCAGCAGAACTCGTCCAGCCTTCCGCTCGTACGTGCGCCGCCTGACGCCCTGCGCTTCGGCTTTTACAGCGCCAGTGAGGACGTGCGACCGCTGCACGAGGTCCAGCGTCTGCAGACCACGGTACGCGCAGCACAGTGCTGTCTTGTATCAATGCTGTTACACTTACACTGTTTATGCTGCATCTGTGCTACATGCAGCACCGTCAGTTCAACTGGGAGCTCAAGATGGCGACGGTCGAGCAGATCTACGGCAAAGCGGCAGCCATGCGACTGCGTACGGAGAAATCGGTGCTCGAGCAGTTTACAGTAAGCAAAATGCGGTGCTTTTTGGTAAAAGTGCGGACAAATGTTCACATACGGAGGAAGCAAGCTGCTGATTGTTGCGCATTGCTTTGTAGCGCCTCCCCGGTCTACCAAGCTCGCGCGCTGGTCTGGATACAATCACAGGCGCTGATGAACAGATTGAGTTCACGGATTTTCTCAGTGGTATATCATGGATCATGTTATGGATGAATGTGTTGGTGTGTAATGCTTTCAGAGGCAAGTGGTACTGATTGACTGAGTTGCTTATGCTGCAATGCAGACCCTGACGAGCACCCTGAAAACACGTTTCGTGTTCATGAGGCCATGGAAGTGAAGCTCTCAATTTTCTAAGCAGAGTGTGCTTAGTTGGTAGTGGAGGCAACAGAAGTGAGCAGCAGCAACAGAAAGACGAGGTGCCGCTACGGCGTGTATGTCATGCAATAAACTGCGTGCATTTGCAACAAAATGGACGTTTTATGATGACAATCGCGGAACGATGCACAAAGCTGTGTCAATTATTAGTCATGATTCTACATGGTTCCCTGTTTTGGCTTATGCAGCATGAACATTTTCAGGTTGACGATTCCAGCGTTGACAGAGTGGTATCTGTTGCCATCAGCGCCAAACAGTGCAAGTCTTCGTGCCGTACAGACGCTTCATTCTCAGTCGAAACGAAAATATTCTGTCGCTGCAAGAAGCGCTGCAGACCTTGGGTTGACATCAGCGAGCACATGACATCGATCCGTTCGTCAGGTTCGTGTTTTTTTCTTTTTCCTTGGTCTTTGGCGGCAATCTTTGACGTTTGTGCGCGAGCTAAGTTCCTCTCCTTCTCAGGCTCGTCGACAATCGTATTCATGGTGTCACCTCCAGTATAGCCAAATCCGTCGCATACAAGAGCTTGATCGGACGCCTTGTCCAAGAGCCCATTGTTCAAAGCGGCAATAGTTTTCTGCGCAGCCTCTCTCACCCCTGGATCGTCGGACACTAGCTGCTCTCGAAGCTGGAAAGCATCCATAGCGGTCAGATGATCACTATTCACCAAGAACTCAATTTGCGCCTTCAACACTAGGCTCTCTTCCTCAGATTTGTTAGCTTGCGGTCGATCAGCCTCAGCCGAAGATGCAGATAGGTCCAATGCAGCAAGGACAGACGGGTACACGGAAGCCCGCGGTTCCGCAAGTAGCGGCACAGCTGGTGTCGAGTCAAAGTATGAGAAATACGTCATATAGCTGTTCCACCACGATTTGCTCGCTACGCGTTCAGACCGGTTGGACTCTTCATGCTCCAGATCGCGTAGAGCCCGGGCCGCCTCAGTGCTAACCCACTCCCAAAACATTCCCCACGTCACAGGACCCTCAAGTGTATCGTCTTGGAGCACTGCCATGGTTCGCTCGTAACTGCTTTCCGAAACCGAGCCCATCGCACCGTACAACTTTTTCATCAGCTTTGTACAATCTTCTTTGGAGATCGTGCCTGTAACGTCAGGATCGAATTCATCGAACAAAACTCGTGCACCGAGCTCCAGACGATCGATGTGTTCCTTCGCATTTTGCTGGCTTGCGAAATACCGTGCGGTAGATGCTGAATATACCTTGGAGCCGGCAAAGAAACCTAGCATGCCGCCGACAACAGCCGCACTTGTGGCAGCCACTATACCCACAGGACCGGCTGCAAGTCCAGCAGTGCTCCACATTCCTAGGGCTGATGCCACACTATATGCACCTATACCTGCGCCTGCCGCTGCTGCAGTACGGCTGGCGATGACCTCGCCGGTTTTCAATCGAAAATTTTGCATCAGAAGTTGCTCCGTGGTCTTCGACAGCCCACCGAGAGACTTTTTGTCAGTATATCGCTTACGGTAGTCGTAGTACTCTTTTCCAATATCGACAAGAATCGAAGCAATTGTAAGTGGTGCAGCCACCGCACCACCCAAAGCTGAAGATGACCTTGCCATACCGTTCGCTAACGCTACACCACCAAATGCACGAATTCCACTATCCAAAGCACCATCGCCACCTGCAGCGACTAGCTTCTTCAAGCTATCACTCGCCTCTCCATTGTCCAAATGGTACCGAGCTATCACGCGATCCGCGAGCTTTGCTCTCTTCAATTCCAAAACAGCACTTGCAACCTCTTTCGCTGCCAAAGCGCCGCGCGAGATATCTACTTTTTGTATGTATCCGACCATGTGCTCATTGCACGAGAAGCGCACAACAGCAGCAATTTCCTTTTCCCTCCAATCTTGCACAGTCGCAAGACCGAAGGGTGTGTTGACAATTGACCCACAGGGAAAAGCAACAATCTCACTTGCAAACACAGCCTCGCGACCTTCATCTGGTCCCTCGCTCACGCGCTTATCTTCTTCCAGTGCGTCGTCACCAAAGTGCATCGCCACTTCATCCATAAGTTCAACGCAGTCGAAGAACTCCTCCTCGGCCATCAACTCCAAGGCAACACTATCATACTCCGTGGTGCAATCAAAATAGTCTTCGATAAGCTCAGTTTCTGCGGCATCTTCTTCTTGTTTCATAGTAGCAAGCGCTGCGGCAGCGTATCCTTTACTAATGCTTTCGCCTGTTTTTCTATCCACATCAGGAACGGCAAGTGACACGGCATCTTTTCTTTTCTCCCGGTCATCAGCTTGTTGCAAAAGTAGCTGCGTTGTATCGTAACGCTGCGTACTGTGATAATCTTCCAGCAGCAGCAACAAACACTCAGCAGGCATAGCTCTCACCGCTGCAGCCTGGCGCTTTTGCTTCGACATCTCCGAGTACTGCGACCATGCACTTACGATTAGCGCAACACTTGCTCCAACAGCAACAGCCCCACCCACCACAGAAACAGTTCGCAAGCCGACAGCTGAAGATGAAGAGCTACCTGTTGCATGGCTAGATGCCGCAACATCGCCTGCTATGATTTCCTCTGGTTCCAGGTACAGGATTTGCTCATGCTGGTCAGCACCAATTCCCACTGTACGTGACACTCGTATTCGATCTGGCGCAAAAATGTTGTCATGATTGTTTGGCCTCAGGCTGCTGCTACTGGACGATGGCATTCGGAGCGGGTTCACTACCGTCGACTTTGGAGTCGAGAAGCGCGATGTCACCTTTGATACCACCCCAGAAATATTATCAATCACGTCTTGGAAAGTAGCAATAGCCTCATCGAGCGTCATTCCGTTTACTGTTCCATTGCGCATAAACTCTTCCTTAAGACTAGGCGAGTCGGTCAAATGTGCATCGTACGTTTGACGTGCTTCAACATCAGACAGTACCTCGTACGACTCTGCCAGTAATTTGAAAATTTCTTCCGCAGAGGCCCGTTCCTGAGGATTTGCCGAACTATTCGCCCACCGATCCGGATGCCACTTTAATGCTAGTCGCTTGTAAGCACTCCGTATTTGTTTCGCTGTCGCGTTTCGTGGAATGCCAAGGCGCGCATAAAAATCCATTGACGCGTTGATCTGAACGGATTTCGAACGGCGTGCAACCGAATCGACGTATGCACTCATCAAGTGCTGTAAAATAGCGTTGCCCGTCAAGGTAGGATCCGAGTCTTCTTCCTTACCCATCACCTTGCTGATAGCGCCTGGGTCCGAATAAATCTGAAAATCAGCTCCGGACTTCGAGAGAAAAATGTACGTCCCGCATGGACAATACTGGTAATCAATTTCCTTCATGATGTTGAATTCTCGAAATTTGTAGAACGTGCTTTGCAGAATGTTCAACGTCATCGACAAGTATGCCGAACTCGCATTTGGGACGATACCAGTGTCGGTGGTTGCTGCCAAATTAATAAATCGTTGTTGCATCCGAACGGGCAACAAGTTTGCCAGTGCTTTCGTCGCTTTCGTAATCGTGATAAACCGCTCAGCCGTTTTTGCAACCATCGCTGCTGACTGAGCAACATTGAGTATACTTGGGATGCAGTCATACTCATTTACAAACGTCATTACTCGCTTGCTAAGCTTCAGTGACTCCAGAAATACTGAAAGTCCAGTAGATCCAATATACGGAGCCCCAAAACCGATTGCCAACACATGTGGCATACTGCGAAATATTGCCGAGCGCTCTTCTTGTTCCATGCCTTGCATCATCAGTCGGAAGTCCAATGCATCACTTGTTTTTGTGCCATTTTCTTCGTGCTTCTGCTCGTCGTAGTCTCTCTTTTCTAACAGCAATCTCGTTTTTGTCGGTAAGTGCAGATACACCAGTTCACAGAATGCCAGCTGCGCAATGCTGCCACCGATAGAGTGACCGCACAAGAGCAGCATCTTCTTAGCTTGTCGTGCTTTTTGATGGATGTCTTGCAAGTCGAGACGCTGTGTTCGCTTCCAAAACGGCGCATGGATCCTCGCTCCACCGAATCGATGCAAATAAGGACGAGAGAAAGGAGCGGCTGAGCTCACCACAGTCTGTATAACATCAGTAGGTTTCGTGGCTCGTACAGCACAGAGCATAGCGAGCTCCGACTCTATGAGGACGTAGTCGGGTGTGAACGCCAGCACCGGAAACCGCAGACTGTGCGGAAGAGGCGACTTGCGCACATGCATATCCAGTTCACGCATTGAGCGGTCGTTCACCGGCCCGTCAGTCTCGATAGGCTCCGACTGCGTCGCAGATAGCGCTGCACACAACACAGCGGCATTCAGCAGCTCCGTCTCGCTCGCAGCGACGGCGCGCTCCATGTCGCTGTCTGCTGTCGCATCTGTCCACCACCACGCGCGCCTCTTGAGTGGCGACGCCTGTTCCGCGCGTTTCTCTGGCTGCTTCGCGGCCCGCGAGACTCCGGACGGCACCGCCATTTCGCCAAGAGCTTTTGTTCTTCTAGTTGGGTACTACTGAGACTTGTGTCTGATTTGGCCATACAAACAGACAATAGTCAGTGTAGCTATGGCAGGAAAGATTGCAGCATTTGCGCGTTTCAACCAATGACGAACGAGTCAACATGCGACGCGGCCAATATCAGATGAGAAGAAGAACATAAAAAAGTCGCTGCAATTACTTGTCGCGCTCTCCTTTGTCCACACCCGAGATGGCTGCAGTATGTGACATGAGGTAGATGCAATGCTCATTACGACGCGTTTGGAGCAAAGTGATCACATGTCAGGAGCGGACGTGTTCGCGGCTTCTTTCGGAGGTGCTGCCACAGATCCGTCCGTTCGCAAACTGCGCTGAGGTGTAGTGGTACTAAACGTCACCATAATGGGAACTGAAGGAGAGTCGGTGGGAGGAAAAAATGAACATGGCGAGCTGCTCACGAGAATCTGCAAGTCGTGACCGACTACCACCTCTGTGTTGGTGTGGACCAGAAGTACACCGAGTCGTGTAAGCTGTCGATGACATATGACGTTATGACGAAGTTCATACACGCAGTGGACAGGCACGAGTTCAAGGCCAAGTGGTATGCATTACTTATTACGGCACATGCGAAGCGACGAAGGCTTTGAACCTGAACGCACACTTGCGTACCGGCATTGCTTGGAACAATATGAACGCAAAAGAAAGCAAAATTTAGTAAGCAAGCGAGCACATGGACCAGGTCGCTGCGGGTTGGAGCTCGGTATCGAGTCTCCATCGTCCATCTACGATCCCGATTATTGCGGTCGATTTGACGATAATGTCATCTGAGCCATTTCATGAGAACTTCTTTGCATCGTCCCAGAAAACATTGCCAGTCGCCTGATGCCGACTTCACATATTTCGTGCCGACCAGGCTGTAATGATAAACGCAATATGTACAACGAGCCGGTGGAGCCCAACAAATTGGAGATGCACCAAATTTCCGTCATTATCTCCTTCGTTCTTGGTGATAAATGGTATAAAGTCGGTCCACCGCAACACAGATCACTCGGCAAATTTCTTGCGCCACGCTGCCTGGGAGACTGGCAACGAACGTGTTTGCTGGAAAATGGCTCTGGCAAATGCCATGCGACATACCCCGTTTTCCGACAAAGTTGGCCATTTTCTACGCACTCTATGGTGCCGCGGCGCAGTAACCTCACCATTTGTGGCACCATGTAGATCAACAAACGTGACGGTAAGATGGCTGCCCCTTCATTGTCCTCCACGCAGTCACGGTTGCGTTAGTGATTTCCATTATGCTCGAATGCTCGGTCAGCAAATATAACATGGTGGTGGTCGAGAAGATACCTCGTTTTGCCGCAGTTGTCCGACGCTTTGTGGCGGGCAGCTCGCTACGATGCCAGGACGCGCCTGACTCAGCTAAAGGCTGCGACAAAGTGATAATGAAGTTTCGCTGCAGTGTGCTGACAGAATCCTCACATGACCTGCAGGTCGCGCACGCTACCCTCTATTACGACCCGTGGAGTCTAAGAGACCGCGTTTTTGCACCACTTGCGATGAATGGAAATGGTGACTAATGTTGGTGTAGCATTGAGCTGGACATGGTCATTGATTTGCGTACCTTTGCTCAACCCACAGGGCACGCACTTTCAGCCCGTCCAGCTTGTTCAGCACGCTTTTCGTTTTGGCGTACATGGATTACCCGTACCACCAACAATCCGCCGCATCCTTCGTTGCGCGCTTGTTATTCCTAGCGCTCTTCCGTAGCGATGCTGGTGAGATACTGTAACACTGCAAGAAGCATTCGACGACTGTGGCAAATAACAAGAAGTGCTGCGTTAGACTCTTTTCGAGTCACTTTACTTTGCTACAAGTAGGACGTTCTTCACAACTCTCGGCAACATGCTTGTATACCTTCTATAGCGATTACGATGTTGCTGTCAACAGGTTGTGGCGAGGTCCTTGTTGAGGTGCTTGGTCGACTCTCCCGGATTGAGCAAAATTGCATATCTTGTAGCAGGCCGTACGATCGAATCTATAACTGCATGGAGTGCGTTAGGTATACTGCATGATGCCGACGACGCATCCAGCGACAACTACTAAAAGGTCATGTGCTGAAGGACACGCTGACTGGCTCTCGCTAGCATCATGGCTGAGCAGGTTAATTACTAGCTCTGACAAGCCTGGTGACGCCATTCATCATTGCTGGAGAGATCAACTGCAACTTCGCAGTTGGTGATCCGGCTGTCCTCATATTATCGGTAATTGGCAAAGTAGGGCGCGCACCAAAGGCGCCTAAACTTTCGACGCGATCAAAGTGCGCGGGGCTTTCCGGATGCACATATCGGTTGCGTGATGAACGGTCGTTTGTGTGGAATCGTTTCATTCTTACTAAATCGTTCACCCGGTCTTTCTATTGATGCATGTGCGGCAACGAACAGCGATTGAAAGATGGCACGCGACATGTTGCGCATCAACTGTAGATAATAGCCACACAGCCACGTCTGCTCGGCGCAGAGGGACGAAGACATAACAGTACGAATGGAGTCCGTCACCTCAAGCTTTGCATGAAGCTACAGAAACACAGCATAAACACGAGCGACTCTGCTAACACCCGTTATAACGTATCTTCCTACACGGCATAGCACATGCGAACATTTGACTTGCTATGTCGTCGGTGCCTTGCCCTTGTAGCGTACTAGGAAGACGAAACGTCGGATTGAATGCAACCGGGGCTGCAGGCACTATGAACAGCTGTCGCCAACGCCGAGTCCCTGCATATGACGGCACTCTGGTGTGCTGAACATATCGATCGATCGATCGATCGACCGGCTGTTCTTCACCCGTTTGCAGAATACAACGCACAGGATATCGGAATTGAATCTTTGGACCACATCGGAGTAAGCAGACCATTGATCCGTTGATGAGCGACATCGACGACTCGGGCACAAACTTGTGGGGACGTACGGACGAGAGCGAGTTTTCGTATGCGGTGGCGATCCCCGGCACGAATCAGCAAGTGCTTCTGAGGGCAGTGCAGGACCGAGACATTTGTGCTGGCACGCCGGCGTTTCCATCGCACGGCCACTGCGTGTGGGACGCCGCGTTGCTGTTGGCCGACTATGTGCAGACAAGTTGTTGCGGCGCTGCTGCTGCTGCTGCTGACGAAGGCGACGGTCGATTTCAGTTTCGAGGCAAGAAGGTGGTCGAACTTGGCGCTGGTGTGGGACTCGTGGGCATGACACTGGCTATGCTGGGAGCCCACGTAGCGCTCACGGATCAGGACTACGCACTGCCTCTCCTGGCCAAGAACGTGGCCGTGAACTTTGCTGCTCCTGCAGTTGCGAGTCAGTCGGATGCAATTGCTACTGTACCGGTGGTGGAGAAGTGTCAGTGGGGAGAGCCATTCGAGTCTTGTGGCACTTTGGCGTCGTGGACGAAGAGCGTCGACGTCGTGGTCTTCTCAGACGCGCTGTACCACGAAACAGCTTGCCTCTTGCTGATCAAAACGCTGTGTGAATTAGTGTCTCCAGCCACGGATGTGTTTTTCAGCTTTGAGACACGAAATGCTACGATAGAAGCCAACTTTATGCTGCAGCTCGAAGAAAAGTTTGACGTCGAAGAGATCTCTCATGCAGACAACGCACAGGCTTTTGCCAGATTCAAGTATCCGGACGAATTATTCGTGTTTCACGCGCGTCTCAAAGCTAATGGCAAGACTTAGTACGTTGATATGACTGTACATCCACAAGTTTGGTATTTGTATGCGCTTACAACCTTGACGATGCGATTGCAGAAAGCGTCTCCTCCCCCCGCAAAACTACAGCTTCTTGTTCGACCCGACTGGGAAACAGTCGAGCTTCTAGTGGTACCTCCTTGGTCTTGCTGTACACGTTGTCGAGAAAAGCGCACACAGCATCACCATGCGCCAATGCTCGAGGAGAGAGGAGAAAGTTGAACATGTGGCTTGCAAAGGGCACCTTGACCAAGATATCCTGGACGCCACCGAGTTGCTTGTCCTGGTACGCTCGAATCGCCGGAGGGAGGTGCTGGCGGTAGCTGACCAAGCGATCAAAGAACAGCTGCGAGTCTTGCAACAAGACGACGTTGTCGTGAGTGCCGTGTGTGATCATGAAAGGTGGGACAATATCTCGACGACGGGCAGCGCTTTCGTCAGTCAAGTAGGCGACGGGCGACGCGCGTTCAAAGTCTTCCTTGTTGCTCTTGAGCTTCATTTGCATCACGAAGAACTCAAGATATTGAACAAAGCCGCTGGTTTTGTCACGAGCATAATAGATGCCATGTCGATCTGTGAAGTCGTGGACGCCGTAGTTGTCGACAACTGCGCGCACACTGGTGTCTACGTCTTCGAAACCGGGCTGCAAGGATTTGTCATCCGCAGTAAGTCCCAACAAGCTCGCCAAATGTCCGCCGGCAGACTCCCCGCCTACAGCAATGTACTCCGGATCGGCGTTGAATTCTGCACGTGCATTTTGACGTAGATACGCAATAGCACGCTTCGAGTCAATCAAGTGAGTGGGGAACGCCACATTTGGAGACAGCCGATAGTCAATGACGCACACGATCCAGCCCATTGAGGCCACTTGGTACACACATGAGAAGGGTGGGATTCGGCGATCACCGATGACCCAGCCTCCTCCGTGGATATAGAGAAAAATCGGGGCATCGGGTAGTTTGTTGTCCCGGTGTTCGTAAACGTCCATGAGCAGTTTCTGGGTTTTCGTTTTGCCCACATGCGCATAAGCAACCGTGCGGACTTTTTGCACGCCAAGGTAGCTCAGGGATACGGCCAAGGGCTGTGGCAATGGCAGCAATACGCTGAGCCATCGCTTCAGCGTCATTCGGCCAATGTCGCGTGACTTTTCTGGGCCAATGTCAGACTTGATGAGCGCATTGCGAATGACTTTCTTCGACGCGAGGTTTCGTCGGAACGACTTGAGGAGGTTCGCAGCTACTAGACACTGTAATAGTCCTGCAAAAGCGCCGCTCCAGTGCGAAAAGATCGGCATCTTCTTCTTGAGCAGATACCCTGCGAGACACGTGTGGACGATCGCCACCTTGTGTGAAAGCTCGGTGGGTAGCAACGACAACGCCATGCCAAAGAAGTTCTAGACACACATACACACACTCGCACCATTCAATTTAGTAGTGCGCTCGCCCCTGCAGTCCGTGCTCGACCCACCTCTCGCGGAATCTTGCGATTCTTCGCACGCTCCACGACGTACAGCGTAAGTGCGGCAAAGGCCAAGTACATCCAGCGAGTAAGGCGTTCGCGATCCAGATACAGCGTCGACTTGGGGCTGATGACCGTCATCTGAGCTGCAGAAAAGGTCGAGCGACTTGCTTCGAGTGCTGGCGTGGCGCTGCGGCAGAGCTTGTGGTGAAGCTGTGGCCGAAAACGCACATGCCAACTCAGGGAGACGGCGCGCGAATTCCAGCCAATAGTCCCGCGTTCCGTGTCAAAAGCGCGACGTTTGTGCTGCTGGATGTGCAAAGCCAGCGATGATGAACCGACAGCACCTCTGCTTGATCTTCGTTTGCAGTGCTCGCATTGTTTCTGCGTGTCATCGGTCAAGAAAAAGAGAGCACCTCAATGAGGTTCTTGTCCCTTGTCAAGGAACTCGCGCCGCAGACGTCTTTTTTGCGTCGGATGAGTGTGGTAACTGTACCCGCACACTCTTTTCGCACACTTCATCTCTTGTAACGTGACGACGCCGGCACGTCATGACCTGCTCCAGATGGACGAGAGCTTGACATTATGTGCTTCGAAGGACTCTTGAGCTGCAGTAACGGGTAGATGGATGTAGAGACGCAATATGGGCGTCTGCATACCCCCTCCATGCGCCAAGCTCCGCGGTGGAGGTGCAACAGGCGTCTCGTTCTGCATAAACATCGATGAAGTACTGTTGTGGGTGAGTTCTCGTCTCTGCGTGCGCTCATGACGTCAACGTTGGGTCGTGGAAACTTTCCAGAAGCCCCATTCGGGTCTGCGGATTGCACAACGGGCCGAGAACGACTGTTTGGCACCACTTGCGTCTCGCTTCGTTTGGCAGTGCAGTGAACACTTTGCGCTGGCACAATTAACATTTCCATCGCGTCTCCGACTTTGCCGCTGGTCACTGTTGACCGAAAGACGGTGTATCCGACGCTCTTTCGATCGCGCACAGTGGGCACCACCTCGCACGACAAGAATGTCGACTACATTCTAAACATGTGGCGCGCTGTCTCTGTTCTTGTCAGGATGCCACAGGCGAACTTGGAATGTAGCGAACTAAATATCTGCAGTGAGGCGCTGCATGCACACACCTGTACCTGGTGAGAGAAGTCGGCAACTATGGGCATTGTGCTGACAAAGCTCGCACGCACAAAACCGCGGGATGTAGATACAGGCACAGCACCGAAAAGCGGTCTTCAGGTGCACTTGCGCGTTGGCAATTCTAATGCAAACAATGAAGCGTTGATGTTGTAAGAGCGCACATGTACGCGATGCCAACGTTTGTTGATTTGAAACGAAGCCACGCGATGGTGAAACTCTGCCCACAAACGTCACCACGCGCAACGGCGATTTGCGACATGTGCTGTCTGTGGGCGAGTTGAAGTGCAAACGCGTTTCTTGTAAGACGACTGTTTTGCAAGTGCAATAGGTGCTATGTTGGGCTAAGCGTAGTGAAGCTGACAGATAGCCAGAGTTGATTCATGTGGTCGTCAGCGAATCTTCACAACACCCATTTGTTCCCACTTACTAAGCTGCGCAGAAGACTCAACATGGAGACTCGGACACGATAATGAAAAGGAACTATCCACACCTATTGCGTTTCGATTGCTCCTATCGACTGATGGGTCGATAGATAGGGATCAAAACATAGCTGCAACAGCTACCTCGGCAACGATGTCAGAAAGGTAAAGGCTATAAAAATACAAAACCAGTAGCTTTGCGCAAGATGTAACACGACGTGGCGTTAGCGATTCCGACGGACGGAAATCAAAATGTTTTTGATATTGACCGTCGCACACCTCAACGATAGCACAATTAGGTTTGCTCCAAAGCAATTGCTGATCACCACTCTTCATCGCTGTTTTCGATCTCGTCGTCCACCACGTCCTGGAGTGACAGCGAATCCATCGCGCGAGTGCTTTCGCCATCAATCGGCCGAACGATGGCCCCACCAGCTTGGTCCATCATTTTTAAATAGGGTTCCACTTCGAACGCGAAGACATCGCCCATACACGCGTACTGATACTCATGGTCATCTCCCCGAGTGACCAGTTCCACTTCTTCACGTCGTGACACCATGCGTTGCTTTGCGATGTATGTTCGAGGCCGTGTAATCGGACGAAACATCTTTGGGGTAGGATTCTCGTTCGTGACAGCTATGGATCGCAAAATGATAGCTTGCGCAATGTCCCTCGACCGCTTGAAAGCCTATGATAAACACTAGTACGTCATTGAAACAATAATCGACAAAAGATGGAATCATTGCATGTTGTCATACCTCCGAACTGCTCACACCGTCGCATGATTTGGCAACCATCATTTCGCAAAAGCTCATTAGTTCCAGCGCACCAGATAGATCTTCCACTTGCGAAAAATAAGCAATACTGTTCTCGTGGACGAGCCCAAGCACTTTTTCTAGTGGCATTGTAGATGCGGCTAAGAGCTGGTCGTCATCAACATCTTCTGCTTTGCACTTCAGCTCGCACTCGTTACCACGTTTGCTTTGTGAAGTTTTACCATGCAACAGCTTTCCAACAACGTGGAAATCCGAGAAAAACGAATCGCGTGTGCTGGAGGTTATCGGTGTCAAAGCCTTCATGCTGATTGACACGGCTTCCCTCTTTTCTTTCTTTCTCGCAGGCGCTGAAGCCGATTCCGGCTTGTTTACACTAGGGCATTTCAGAAGCTGCAGCATATTTAGCGCGTGCCGCATATCACCGCCGCTAGAATCTATGATCTTTCGGACATCGTCCATCTGAACAGCACAATTCTCTTGTGTAGCAACATGCTTCAGTCGCTTTCTCATCTGCGTAGATGTCACTGCGTTGATGTTGATGACTGATGTCAATGGCGAATGCATCACTTCACGAGAAAACTTTCGGCTCAGATGCTCCAAATCAATCTTGCTTCCTTGAACGTCGCTGTATATGCATACGACGGGATACTGGCATCCACCAGCCGGGTTTACCACGGACTGGTATATTTGTCTGAGCTTCTCTTCGTAAAGCGACGGATCGCTCGACCACGACTGAGGCCAGCTCTCGATCAGAATCAACTGACCAGTACTCACCGATACCCTTCCCAAATTGCATGTTACTCCTTCGTTGCTTGGCAGGCGACGCTTTCGACCAACACAAGACATATGTCTAGACGTAGCAAGAGGGAGTGCAGCATAGGTCACTGATCGGTGAACAAAGTCGGAAAAATCGTCAACTCCTGACACCTGCGGCATATAAAATTCATCTCGTAACATCCGCGTGTAGCGAAGCTTTCCTGCAGATGAGCTGTCGCTCCACTCTTTCACAAGCAGTCCCAGCTGCAACGCAATGCATCGCACTGCTGTTGACTTTCCCGACCCTGGTGGTCCACACAAGAATAGCAACCGCTTCTGACGAGCGTCCGAGCGTGACGACGCATTGTGGTGCAACCAATCCGATATTTCCTGCACCTTCTTCTTGTTGATGCACAAGTCATCCACTGTTTTTGGAGCGTGCACGTTTTCCCACAGCTCTCGGCTTGACCTCACTGTCTTCAACTCGCAAGTGTTGCGGTCATTGCTCCGTCGCGAGCTCGTGGCTTCATGATTAGTGGACGTGGTACTGACTGCAGCATCATCGCTTTCTCCACTCCCGCTGCTGTCAATGGCCTCCACAGTATCCCCCCGAGTGCCCATCGAAGTGTTTCTTTTGTGTCTCTGCTTCTTCTCCGTTCTGTCTACTGGCTGGGAGAGCCACTGCGACATCTTCCGCGTCTTGCTCCGCGATCCAGGTCGCTTGCTCTCACACACATTGCACCGATACGCACTGACGTCCTCATTGACGAATGTGCACAGTGGGCACTCCCACGAGTGATGCTCTAGCGTAATATCAACAGCTGACTCCTGGGCGCTGCCCTGTTTCTCCTCCGCTTCAGCCCCCAGCAACGTGTCCGTGTCGCTGCTGCTGTCTGTCAAACACCGATCGTGCTCTGCACTACATCGCAACAATCAGCAAACGCATCAACGACTTCTTCTAAGTCGAGTTCGACCAACGCACAAACGACAAATAGCTCACCTACCGCTGCCGAAGCCGTCGCCGATCGTGGCGCATTTTTATTTATTTTTTAACCTCTCAATAGTGGTACACTTGCGGCACCGAAAATGTACTGGGAATATTCGAGTTTTGAAGTCAGAAATATGACGAAAAAGAAGGAAGTCAAGACGCCGGGGCCAAAGCCCGCGACGCTGCAGGCTGAAGAGTGGCAGAAGAGTTTCAATGAACAAGAGAGAGAGCTGCTTGAGCTGTCGATCAAGAGGTGAGTGGTTTTGTGTAGTAGAGTTTCAGGCGTTGACATTGGATTAGTGCGTGAACTGACAGCTCGAAATGCTCCAGTGTGAACGAGTTCTCGCGGGAGTTGCAGCGAGTACGAACGGCCATGAAACGCCGGCAAGAGACGGGTAGGGGTTCAGCAGTATAACACCAATTGATGCAGGGTCAATCCTGTGTATCTTTGACGAAGTGTGAGTGTTAATGCAGCTTCCATGCTTCCAACTGAGCTTGCTTGAAGGGCTGTCGTGGCTAGCAGAAGCGTCGATGACTGGAGCTTTGACGTTACTTGGGCATCGACTCGAGCAGCAGCTCGACGCGATCACGGACCATGACATGTAGCGAGCTTTTCGTAGCTGCGTAGGTATCACGACCAAACTCGCGCACTTCGTCGTTGGAACTTGAGGTAAGCAGGCGGTAGACTGGCAGCTGGAACTTCTGCTTGCCTTGCATCTCAAGGAACCGGCGGACAATCGACAGCTTGTTGATGACGACATTTTTGATCAGGATAAGTGTCCATCGGAAAAGAATCTCCGAGTTACGCGACTCCCATAACGAAAGTGTGTCACCTAGGACAATCACCACTTCAGCACTCGAGAACTTCGTTTCGAGGAAGCAGTCTAGGAAATAGAGCATCGGGCGAGCCTCCCACTTTTTGGCCTCTTCCGTCAAGCTGAGAGTACTTGGCTGCACTGGCGTAGGTGATGACCGCCAGTGTGACGCCAACGACTCGCAGCTCTGCATGATTTCTTGCGCGTCGGAGTAGTCCGGCACGAATTGCGGATAACCTGGTTCGTTTAGCCACGTATTGAACGAGATGCCATCTTTCAGGTCGGTCTTCGAAGCGTTTGCAAGCTCTGGGAAGCTTTCCAAAAAGAACGCAATCATCGTTTCTGCTGGAATTGACTGGAAGCGATACTCGGCACAGTACCGTTTCAGAAAGTCATCGAACACCTGCAGATTCAAGTATGTTAGAACGCAATTACAACTCGCAATAACGTCGACACCATGATCAACGCAAAGTAAAGTGACTTGCCTGGTCGGACCCGACAAGACTTCGAAGGTAACACACAAACGCGTAGCCCTTTTCATAGGCACACATGTTATAGCAGTCACCGGGGTCAATTCCTTCGTCGAGAGGTACTCGCAATCGCGTTAGAGAAGATTGCTCCCCAAACGACGATATCTCCTCACGCAACAATGCTTCTCCGAGTTTGGCGTCAAGGCGGCTCAATGCTCTGTGATCAAGTCGAGGCGAGTTAAGCAAAGGACTGGAGAACGTGTACCAAAACGTCTTACCGACCGTGCGACACCTCAGTGATGCGTCGCTCCGCATACATCGTGAAACCTTCATTGAGGAAGAAGTCGCTCCACGTTGCGTTTGTCACCAAATTACCAAACCATGAGTGGGAAAGCTCGTGCGCCACGACTGTGTCAAGCAACAAAGCAGATCCAGTTAGCGAATGGCCTAGTGGCAACGAAAAATGGTCGATGAGCGAGCAGTGTTGCTAACGCACTCGATACGAGCGACTTGTCACCCGCAATCGTGCATGGTGACACAAACGTAAGGCGCGGGTTCTCCATCCCTCCGTATGGAAACGACGGCGGCATGACTAACATGTCGTAGCGTTCCCACAGATACTTCCCAAAGAGTCGTTCCCCAATGGTCAAGTACTCTTCTAGCACATTGTCAAACTCCTTTGTGGCCGCTTCAATCATACATGGCTCAGTCCAAATGCTTGACCGCGGACCAACTTTCGCTTCGACCAAGTCTCCCACGGCCATCGCGACTAGATACACTGGAATCGATTGCTTCATATCGAATATGAACTTCTTTTTCGTAGATGCCACATCCTTTCGTCCATTTTCGGGTACGTACTCCTCCACACTGCACAGCTTGGCACTCATGACACACACTAACTCTTGGGGCACGACCACTGATGCGGTGTACGTGACACGCACGGACGGCGAGTCCTGACACGGAAAGAAGCTGCGGTTCAGCACTTCTTGGCCCTGTGTGTACATGAACGGCAGCTGTTTCCCGGCCGTCTGCTCCTTGTCGAGCCAGCACACACCAGGACTCTCCACCTCCGTCTCGTAGCGGATCGTGAGTTCGATAGCACGAGCTCGCGTCATCTCTTCGGGGATCTCGACCTCGAGCGCTTTGCCAAATGACGTGAAGGGTTTGATGCTCCATTTGGCCTCAATTGAGCTGTTGCCTCCGGGCAGCAGGGCGCATACCGAGTAGATGGTCAGATGAAACACGTCCAGACGCAACGTCGATGCTGTATCGCTCAGGCGCTGGACCGATAGCTTGACCGTCCCAGCAATGCGCTTCTTGTTCATCTCGACATCGAGCTGCAGGTCGATATGATGCGTGCGGAACTCGCTCAGGTCCGTGCACGTGGCAGGATCGCGCACTTGAAGGGGCGCCATGATCGACGATCTGGATCGGTTTGTCACAGCGTCTGGTCGGATGTCACTCTCCCGAGGGAACCGGCCACGCACTCCTGCACGAAGCGCCTCACGATTCAGTTTCGAAAATATGCACGCGGCACTTTGGGACGAAGTCCAGAGCGCCTGTGACCCCGTCAGACTCGGGACTGCGCTGGCCGATGGCAGAGTCGACCCTTCGGCCGTCATGGACGGATGGACACCGCTTCATTTCCTCTGCGACAACTGCGTCGTGGAGTCGAAAGCGCGTGCTGAAGGTATCCGACTGTTGGGCCAAGCGGGCTTTCGATCGAATGCAGTGGACGAGGTACGGACAGACACGTGATGCGTTACTGGAGAGATGTGCTGACAAATGGTGGTGGCTGTGTTTCTACCGTGGCAGAATGGCTGGACTGCTATCCATCTGTTGTGCAAGAACAAGAGCGGAGATCTGGTCCCGAGCATTCAGCAGCTTTTGACGGCCAAAGCAAACGTGGATCTACAAACGACAGTGAGTGACACTTGAGATAGTTAGTAGCTGCTACTATGTGGAGGAGGGAGAATACGATTGATCGGAGAGTTTGTTGCTGCAGGACAATCGAAAGTCGGCGCTGCATTTGCTTTGCGAAAACGAAACTGTGTCAGAGGAGGCGCTCAAGACGCTACTTCAATCGAAGCCAGAAGTAAACTCTGTGGACGAGGTACAGCGTCATTATACTGCGCGTGATGAAGAGTGCCACGTGGCTGATCATATGGCCAATGCTCGTACTTCTAGGACGGCAATGCACCGCTACATTACCTAGCGGAGAACCGCTGTGTTTCGGATCGCATGTTGAGTCTCATGCTGGCGGCAAAGATCGACCTCAATATCCAGAACAAGGTGCGTGGCGTCACCGCTTGGCTGCTTTTCGAACAAGTTCTGATGTGTTGCTGAATGTGTACAACATGGTCCTCGTGCAGTTTCACTCGACACCAGCTCATTATATTTGCCAAAACAGTCGCATTACCCGGCTCATGATCGGCGAGCTGTTGAAGCACAAGGCTAATTTCAACCTCAAGAACAACGTGAGTATCTGTGCGTCGATAGTTGTGTTTTTGCTCACAACGATTGACTCGCTTTGGTGTTGCTGGACAGATCGGAAATACCCCTGTTCATTATTTGTGTGAAAACGACGCAGTGACGGTAGATGTGCTCAGGGAGCTAATGAACGACAAGCACGTGAACATCACGATCCCGAACTCGGTTCGTGCAATGTGTGGAACAGCTAGCTACCGTTTGCCGCCTCCATATGGCTAACTCATGCAATGTTGCTGTTATTCAGCTCGGAAGACTTGCCAGTGACTACATTGCATCCCAAAAGAAAGACTGCCTAGCATTTCTGCAGAAGTTTACGGCGCCAAACCTGGCTCAGGCAGGAGGCAGCTCCAGCACATCTGCAGAAATTGGCGGCGAAGACCCGAGTGAATTGCCAAACCGTTTGAAGCGAGCACTGATAGCTTGGAACGCGTCACTCCCGCCATTTGACGCCGCCTTCTACAGTGCTGTTTCATGCGAAGCGGCATTTGAACGCACCTACGATGAAGTCCAAGAGGTTTCGGGGCAAGCGTGCGAAGCGCCCGACGACTCGGCGACCTTTGCTGCTTGGGAGAAGAGTCTGTCCAAGTGGCGATCATGTATTCTGTTAGCGTATGCGGCTCTTGTGCCACCAAACGTTTGGCATCAATACGCTGAGCAATACCAGCGTCCTGTGCCACCTGACCTCTCGCGCGTGCTGGGCAAAGTGGAAGCCGCGTGGAAGCAATTCCCAGAACCGACCCAGCGTCGCGGCCGTTTCCAAGCTCTGGCCAGTGTGTTTACGCCCTAGAAAAAGGGGCTGCTCCTGCATCGTGTCTGACATTGTGAACAAACAATGTGTGTTTTTTTCTGCTCGATCATGAAGATATCTTGATACGATCCGTTGCTGTTGTGCCAGAGTTTGAGAATGTGCTTGCGTCATTCAGATTCATACAATATTGCACATGTACCCCTGTACATATGTTTGCAAAGCACGGCTCTATGACCAGCTTCGGCTTTGCTTGTGTAGGCGTTTCGACGTGGTCTGGGGCACCAACAACCTCTTCAATCCGAAACTTCGATTACGCGCGGGGTCGGATGCAGTCAGCGCACGATTGTCTGGAGAATATGGAGCCGGATAGGCTCCTGTCTTGGCACACAATTGAAGTCTAAATTTTGTCCAGCATTCTGTCTTCTTTGCATCCCAATATGGACGCAAGCGGCACACCATGCTCGATGTATGTTACAAAGCTTCGGCGTGGGTGCACACACCACGCGTACCTCCCACCAGATTGGGCAGCGTATTGTGTGGGTGTACATGCGTACAGACAAAGTGGCCCTTGTCTGAGATTGATTCTTTCGCAACGTTGAGTGTGTACCGTACAAGCACAAATTCTGTTCATCACTTGCACTGCACAATCTTCCAAGTCGTGAGATCTCTGGTCCGCCTAGAGATGTCGGCCGACGAGCATCCTTCCGAAGAGCTTTACGGGCATGTCCATTGGCATTCTGTACCTCTTTTTGTCATGTATTGTAACAGCATTTTGGTTTGATTACCTGATACAAGCAGCACGCTCATTTGTAGACTATCATTTGCGCAAAAGCTTACCGAGGAACCTTTTGCAACCCGTGAAGTAAGCTACTTCAATAAACGAAGTGCGCGATGAAGTTGCATGTTACGAAATTAGTCTCTGACCTTTTTGTTAAAGCGCAGACCGTAAAAGGGATGACCCTATTGCAGTATTTGACATCGATAACAATAGGAAAAAGAAAGATTGACCAGACAGTCAAGAAAAATGGAATTGCGCTAACAACCGACAGCTTTAATAATTTCTTCTGATGATTAAATTATCGAGCGTTATAACAAAAACACACCAAAATTTTAGACAAAAATACACAAAAAAGGCGGATAATAAAAAAGTGCATCATCGATGTAAACTATACGATCGAATATACACATGTCTGCGGTCGTTCATATACATCTGCTTGAATCTATCTCACGCTATATTAACAAATCGTACATCTCAATTGTCAGTAGCCGTGTTGCACGGAGAAAGAAGGCTTGACGCTTGATGTGTAGCCATTCATTATTATTGACCATTCGATGCTAAAATTATGTTGTATTTACGCGTCAAGATCATATTATACATGGTCAGCAAAAAAAGCTTACCGTGACTCCCCGTGCGCTATTATTTTGGAAGGAAGAACAATCAGCTGCGGATGGATTTGAAGTTGCGCGGTCGCCCTCGACTATATGGTTTGCCTCGAAACAAGGCTAAGATAAATATTGGCGCATCGATGTTAAGCTTCGAGTTGCTCATGTTCAACTTACATGCAAATAAGATTACCGTGCCGCCACGTTGTCGCCGTATTGCATGCTAATGGGTCTACAATAGACATAATGGCAGCTTTTCATCCAGCATACTGGTCAAATTTTTCGAGCAAGGGTTTCTGGGAAGGTCTTGAATGAATTAGTTGTCAGCACTAGAACACCGCTAGCGATGATCAATTCGTCACCGTATAAAAAAGATAACTGAACGAAGACAAAAAGGTGTATCAGTAGCTCTGATGATTCGAAGTCTGGAGCTACTTACGAATGCTGCTATTGCTTTCAAACTTTGTATAATAAGATAACATGTCGGCGCCATGCAACTTCGATGGAACAAAAGAACAAGCACGTTGAAGCAAAGTCAATTGAAGTAAGTGACCCGAGAAATCCTGTTTATCCGGCGTCAGTCTTTGTGACAAATACAGTGATGTTCGACACAACCTCAGACGAATGCCACCTGCGTAGATCAATTGCCTTCACACTCGATTGAACGTGCTGTAAATAGCTTTTACAAAGAATGAATACAACAATTAGTTTTCTGTAACGTTGCTCTAAACACGTTTGCTATATATTATTATGTTGTAGACCCTCATTGCTTACATGTGCAGGAAAAAATGCATAACACATTGGCAGGTGCGAAATCAGCGGCCTCTGAAATGACACGTGCTTCTATCTGCACTTGCGGACACTGCTTGCTTCAATCATGAAGCGTCCTACCTGTTTCTTCCACAGACATATCACACCGCACCTTCCGTCTGAGCTCGGCGCTCACTGATCGCGCCGTTAAGACGCGTTTTCCTGCTTTCTCCTCATTTCGCAACTTGCTAATCCCTTCTATCCAATCTTTGGTGGTAAAACAAGCTGCAGCGACGTCAGAACCACTTCATACGTACATCAGGACTGGCGTTAACTCTTCTTTTCGACTTGAAAAGAATCAAAACGAGGTTATCACGATCTTCATAAAGTCCTTCCCATTACACGTTGCAGGCATTGAACAAACAGCGAAATACAGCACATCAAACAGGGTTAAAACAAATTGAATCGCGGGGTACGTCGACGTTCGTACATACATACCGTCTGGTGGGTTGTCTGCTATGTGCTGATCGCGCGTTGCGTCTCCTTCTCTGTCACGTGCACAGAAATTAACCTTAATTGATTAACCCTTTCTTCTATCACGTGCAGATAAATAACATCCACGAATATACCATATCATCACAGGGATTGTTTTTCGCGAGGATGAGAGAGCCAACACCGGGCTAAGCAGAGGCCTCCGTCCTTCTTCGTAAGCTCTTGTGGGTCGTTATATGAACAATGAGCCGTTGGTTTGTCAAATAAAGTGTGCACAATAAGATCAAGCCAACGGGTCCTTTAAAAATGGAAAGTATTGTAACCAATCACGCAGTTTCATACAATCTGACAGTTGGGCATTGTGTGGTCCCCATTATATATGTTCTTCGTGAGCTCGTCTCATACTGGTGCGTATTTGTAGAGTTTTGCACAGACCAACTGCTGGCTTCTAGATTTACTCTTTTGCGGTTGCTTGCGGACACACAAGATAGGTAAGCTTACAAAACACGGAATGCTGATCGATTATTGTAGTATTCACACTCATCATCCTGCTAATGATGGTATCGTAGTCGATTAGAGAATCGAACCTTGCGCTTTGAATGCTTTAAAGACAGACTCAACACTGTTCTTTGCAGTAGACAACCTAAAGCACAAATGCGCAGCAGCTCAATCTTCTTCGTACACATCGGAAATGTGATATAGATACACTGAGACATCATTATGTTGTATATTCTTTACAGAGTCAAATTGCATACAAGGACATGAAAGTAATGACGCCTGACATGTAGAGCTCATGTGTCAAGCGTACTGGCCTGTCAGCAACTTTTGTGCTTTGAGCCCATTTGGTCAATGAAGACAATCGACTGATTTGGCAATATCAAGTCACTGGAGTGCGTTTTAGTTTGATTTGCCACAACCAAAGTGTGGGTTGAGATGGTCTATTTTACATGTTTAGTTATGCGTAAGATCTCTGGTGAGTTCTGATCCAGAAGGTGAACGCCGAAGGACCCGGGGGCTGATCCTGGCTGGGTTCGGTAAAAGCTGACACCCCTATAGGTTCGTGGTCCAGTAGCTTAATGCATGCATACAGCAGTACTCACTTGGTAGATGATGTGACATGACGATGCTCCTTTTTTGATATTTCTCGCATGTGACAGATGCATGACGCCCAATAATTTTGTGTGATCCCAGGATTGACAATTTTTGCTGCCCGTGCACCACCGTATACCTGTCCTCACACATTTTTGTTCGGCATATCGTTGCAAGAATAGGCCAAATTCGCGTTCACACGCGTTCGGCCGCTTCTCCGTCATTGGGAAACCGTTCCGCGAGGATGGCCTTCCGGTGAGTAGTTATTCCGTGTATTCGTCGGCTGGCATACGCTGTGGAAAATTGTGCTGCTCTTCGACGAGTTGCTCTCTCTCCTCTCCACTTCCTGACCAGTTTATCATAGAGGACTGCGGCGCTCGCGCAGTACCAGAACATGTGAGCCATGGTGTCTACGCCGCCTATTGTAGGCTGACTGTTTACTGCAGCTATCGTATACGTTCCTCCCAGCATAATACAATTTGAGCTGCCGAGTCGCGATCCGATATCCCGTCCTTGGTTGGTAGCCGGTGAGGCCGTGACTATGGTCCCAAGCTTGATTCGGGTTCGACATAACGACGTGCGTTTCCATTCGTCTGTTTGCGCATGTACGTCCAGCCATTCCAATAATACCTTGACAGGTCTGGATAGCAAATTTTGTGATGTCGAAAGGCTTGCTTTTTCACCCCTGATGTTATAGCGTGGTACGACATCGTTTACACGAAAGACAATGTAAACCGCTGATGCTGCGGGTGCGGCTCAAATACAAGGCGTCGAGTACGAAGCAAGTAAAATAATGTCTGTAGTGCAATGAAGGAGCCCACGTTTAGCGTTGGAAATTTTCACTGTCAGATCCAGTGTATGCCATCCTCACCCTGATGCAGAGTTATGCTCATTGGTGTGTTCAACGCGCTTTCCGGTGGACTTCCATTTATGAAGACTCTGGATATCGCTCTCCAGACATATCAAGTTATAATAGCTGTAGCCTGGTGAATACGCAAGTCCCGATTCAAGTCCATAATATCACCTATGGGTATATCGGGAAAAGCAAGCAGAATTGATATTGCCTATTGCCTTAACTTTTTGTCGAATGAGGTCTGAGTTGATGAGTTGGTCGGGGTATATTTAATTCAAATTTGACGCCCTGTTCGCATTTGTGCGTAGTTCTTCAAGTGTACAGTCGTCAATACTGTCGAATTTGTATCCGGAAACATGTCTCCGCTCTTAGCCCAAATCCACGGGCTTCCCATCCGCCTTAAAGTTGACCATAACCGCTTGATTTTTTTCTGGCATTTCACCTAGTATTTTCGGTCTTGCGGAATAGTGTC